GATTTGGCATTAGTTTTATTTCTATTCGAGGTGCCTACATACAAAATTTCATTTTCCCATCTTAACAAATAAAAAAATTGGATTGCGCAGATACAAAAGTTGGAGCAAATTGCATCTGCGTAGTTTCTTGAGGTTTAAGGAATATTTGCTAACACAGAAAACCCGACATTCATGTACAAACAACAAAAATTATAAAAAACCTTTTCAGGTGTGGGCAATTTTTGGGCTGTAACTTTTTGGTGCGTTAGTTTACTCAGCTGAAAAACAATGGCGACTGTTATGATGGATAGTTTAGAAATTGAATCACCAACATAATTCTTCAATTCGATTTTATTTTATACGCCATTTACAATACGAACAAAAGTGAATACATATATCTATATTAGTAACCTCCAGATGGCGCAAGTATTTTTCCATCTACATTTATACAGTGGCGTAACACTTCCCGTCCTTGAAAAATTCATACATTACAAATTCAACTTATCAATAGGTTTAGGTGTACGTTTACTACGTCGTAAGTTAGGTACAACTGAAACCGAAGGCTCTGATATTACAGCATTATCTGATGTCTCAGCAGGATGTATTTCTTCTTGTCTTACCTCTGGGTTAACTATAGGATCCGGTTTACTCTCGGGTGGATTTATTATTTCATGATTCCTATAGTCACATGGTAATTGCCTTTCAAGATTTTCACCACAATTTGATAACTGATTAATATGTCTCCTCCAGACTAATCCGTCATCTAACGTTATTTCATAATGTAATAACCCTAGTTTTTTAGTAACTCTACCAAACTTCCACTTGAGTGGACCTAAGTAGTTTCTCGCTGCAATTCTATCTCCTACTTCGAATGATCTTTCTACTGGTTTTGGTAACATTAAAGAAAGAGTAGTTCTTATTGGATAAGCAAAAATCATTTCAGATGGAGATTTATTCGTAGCAGGATGTTTTGTGTTACGATATTGAGTTAAAATTTTGTCTAAATTTTCTTGCAAATTTAATTTATTTGCTTGTAAACATTTTATTTTACGTTTTATTGTTTGCACATACCTTTCCACTTGTCCGTTTGTCGCAGGGTGGTATGGGGCTGATCGTTTGTGAACTATATTTTGACTTTTTAGAAATAATTCGAACTTTGGATTTACAAACTGTACTCCATTATCGGTACATAAGCAATTTGGAATTCCGAAAATAGAGAAAATTCTACGCAATATCTCAATTGTATTATCAGTATTAATTTTGTGTAAAATGTGAACCTCTGGCCATTTTGAATATGCATCAATTAAGATGAGAAAATATACATTTAAAAATGGTCCAGCAAAATCTACATGAACTCTATCAAATGGTGAAGAAGGATAAACCCAATGATGTTTAATTTCAGGAGGATTATTTTTGTTTTCCGCACAGGTTAAACAATTTTGTACTACTGCTTTAATGTCCTCGTCTATTCCGGGCCACCAACATACACTGCGTGCTAATGATAACATTCGTGCTATTCCAAAATGAGCGCAATGTAAGTCTTTTAAAATTCGCTTTCGTAATATAGAAGGTATCACGACTCTATTTCCTCTTAAAATACAATCATTTTGAATTGTAAATTCTGATTGATTAATTCCAAATCTAACTAAATGTGGAACATTATTATTTTCTTTTAGCATGGTCAATAGAAGTCCTAGTTCTGTGTCTAATTTTGTTTGTTTGCTTAACTCATCTACTGTTACAGGTAATGTGTGTATTTGGGAAATTTCATAAATGTCAGATTCTTCTACAGTATTTTCAATTTTGGATTCTACAGGTAATCTAGAGAGCGCATCAGCGTTTGCATTTAATTTTGAACTTTTATACCTTATTTCAAAATTGAAACTTTGTAGAAAAATAGCATAGTGTTGCATTCTACTCGCAGACATTATCGGTAAGCCTTTTTGTGGAGAAAATATTTGAGCTAATGGTGCATGGTCTGTATACAAGACAAATTTCCGACCAAATAAAAATTGGTGAAAACGTTTCACTCCAAAAATGATCGCATATGCCTCTTTATCAATTTGAGACCAATTACGTTGTGAACTAGTTAAGGATTGGGAAGCAAATTGAATCGGTTTTTCCGAGCCATCTGGCATGATATGCGATAACACAGCACCTACGCCTACAGGCGATGCATCAGTGGCTAGGATAATTTGTAAATTGTTGTTAAAATGTACTAAAAAATTATCCGATTTCATCATTTCTTTTATTTTGTTTAAAGCATTCTCACAAGCCTTTGTCCAATTCCATTTTACACCTTCACGCAATAACAATCTCATTGGCTCTAATATCTCGCTTAAATTTTCAAAAAATCTACCATAGTAGTTTATAAGTCCTAGTAATGATTGAAGTTCTTGGATATTTTTTGGTTGTAAAGCATTGACTACCATATCTACTTTACTTTTAGTTTTATGAATACCAAACTTATCAATTCGGTAACCACAATATTCAATTTCATTTTTTAGGAACTCTGATTTACTTAAATTTACTTTGATATTGTAATTTAATAATCTTTTAAATACCTCTTCTAATCGTTCAAGATGAATTTTATCGTTTGGAGCAGTTAGTCTACAATCATCTATGAACACAGCAATGCCGGGTATTCCTGACAAAATATTTTCAATTTTTCTTTGAAATTTAGCAGGGGCGCAACTTAAGCCGTACATTAATCGTGTGCATTTATAAAGACCCTTATGTGTATTTAGTGTAAGAAATTTCTGGTCCTCATCACGAACTCTCATTTGTAGGTATGCTTTAGTTAAGTCAATTTTAGTGAATTTTTCCCCTCCAGCTAAATCTTGAAACAATTCATCAGTGGTAGGCAAAGGATGTTCATCCACCACTAAATTTGGATTTAAAGTTACCTTAAAGTCTGCACATAAACGTATTTTATTTCCAGATTTTACTACCGGTACAATAGGTGTTGCATAATCACTGTAATCTATTTTTTCTAATACACCTTCCCTAACCAAATTGTCAATTTCGTCCTCAACTAATTTTTTTATTGCAAATGGAACGGGTCTAGCTCTAAAGAAAGGTATATTTGCATTGGCTTTTAAATTTATTGAAACAGGTTCACCTTTCATTTCTCCTATTTGCTTATCAAATAAGACAGAATATTTACCTAATAATTTTTTAAGAACTGATTCAGTGCCAGTAACGGATTGGCCAGTATTTGAAACTTGAACAGCATTTACCGTATGAAACATTTTACTTAGCGTATCTGCTGAAAATCCCCTTATCCATTCTCTACCAAATAATGGTGTTTTATTTCCTGATATGACATACAAAGGAAGTTCTTTTGATTCCTCCTCGAGAGTCACCGTCACCTGTAGCTTCCCTAAAACATTTAAATCATTATCAGTGTAAGATTTCAACCTAATTGGAGTAGGTATTAATTTAACATTATTTAGATGTTTCTTATAATCTACATAACTAATAATTGAAACAGCTGAACCGCTATCAAGCTCCATTTTCATGAATTCATTATTTAACCTCACCTCTAACCACATTTTTTCAGGATTAAACTCATCTTCTACATTATTTATATAAAATACTGGTTGGTTCTCATCATCAGTATCGTCCGCATCTACTTCGTTAACGGATTTTTGTAATTGCATGCGTACTTTTTGAATGTGCCCTTTTCGTTTACAATAATTACAGACACTGCTTGTATGCCGACATTTATTTGCATAATGACAACCACCACATCGAAAACATGAAATACTATTTTCTTTCTGACCTGACTGTGGCTTGGCTACAATTTTTTTATTGCTAACATGTTTAGGCATTTTATTTTTAACCGAAGTTACTGAATGAATAGACTTATCTGAAATTTCGTTGGCGTAAGATGACTCGATACTTTGGGCTAGCTCCACCGCTGTTTTCATGGTAAGGTCCTTCGTTTCTAGGAGGCGATCCCTTATTCGTTTATCCCTGATGCCACATGTGAACTGATTCCTTAATGCAGTCTCCAGGAAAGTACTAAAGTTGCATGTTGCCGCCATCCTACGTAACTCCGTAATGTAATCACGAATAGATTCCCCTTCGTTCTGGAGGCGATGATGAAATTTAAAATATTCTGCTATTTCCAAAGGTTGCGGGTCGAAGTGGTTTTTTAATAACGTGCACAAATCTTCGTATTTTTTATCTTCCGGCGCATCCGGTGAAAGAAGATTGCATACCAGGTCGTATGTTTCACCCCCAATGAAGTGCAGAAAATAATGTAATTTGGCATTCCCTTCTACTTGATATATTTTGAACGCTCCTTCCAATCGTTGAAGCCATCTTTTGAATTTCGTTTTAGCGTCGTAGAATTCAATAAAATTGGCTGGCACGTGGTGCGTTGAACTTGAAGTCATCGTAGAAACGGGATACTGCAGCAATTATATTCTTGGGTATTCGTATATTGTATTCTCGATCCTCGTCGCCAAACTGTTATGATGGATAGTTTAGAAATTGAATCACCAACATAATTCTTCAATTCGATTTTATTTTATACGCCATTTACAATACGAACAAAAGTGAATACATATATCTATATTAGTAACCTCCAGATGGCGCAAGTATTTTTCCATCTACATTTATACAGTGGCGTAACAGCGACATTTCTTATATCCTTAAGGATATGTGTACCCATTTTCAAAATGACGTTTCCACACAAAGTTATCGTGCATACGGGCGACAAACGGACAGACAGACAGCAATACCAAATTATGAACGGTCACGAGGATCGTTAATAAGTAATAACACAGAATCAACGAACTCGTTAACGATAAATAAAGTACGGATACGTGCGCATGCAAGATGCAAGTTTAAAAATGTAGTTACAGATGCTAAAGTAAATCGATTACAAATTGTAATCAGTAATTAAATACAAATTTTGTAAAGTAGGTGTAGGTACCTAATCAAATACCTACGTAAATACTTTTATGATTGTTATGTATGCCGAAATGGCAGGGTGTAAATAAAAGGCATAAATCAATGTTTCGTTTATTCTTCACACGCCTTGTTACGTACTCGTCGAAAGTCGGGTTGGGAGAGAGCGATTTTGCTTGTCAACGGTCCGTACATGTTATCGTTCTTTTATACCGGATGCGTCAACATAACACACCTCCCCATATAAGTCTAAAATTACAAATCAAGCCGATCTGGCTTTTTCCTTACTCTAACTGGTCGGGAGTGAGCGTGGGTCAACACCGGATTATTTATTTGAATATTCGTTTGAGCCACATTCACTTCTGAACCTGATACTGTATTATCATGTAATGGAACAATCGTGTACTTAAAATTATCTGAACAATTTGTAGAGATCAAAGGTTTATTATCGGTAGTAGTAGTAGGAATGCTCCGTAAAATCTGGTCTAAATGTCTCTTGTAAATTCCCTTTGAATTTTTACATAGGTAAACCCTAGGTCCCAGTACTTTGTGAATCTTTGCTGGCATCCAGCTCTTTTTATTTATATTGCTATAGTCGCGGATGTAAACATCCTCCCCCTGTTCAAAACTTATGGCTCTTCCGGGCTTACAAATAGTTAATTCTTCTGAATCTGTCTTATATTTTGGTCTGACATTACTGAGCCTTAATTTCAGTTCCCTTCCAAACATAATACTAGCTGGAGACTTATTTGTCGTGCCATGATCAGCAGCTCTATAATTGAGCAAATACCTAGCCAATAAACAGCTCGTAGAAATATTTGAATTTCTACCATCGCTGAAAGCTTTTATTAACGCGGCTTTGACTGCCTTTACGGCATTTTCCGCTGCCCCATTACTAGCAGGATGGAACGGTGGTGTCAATGTGTGTTTTATGCCGTTATTTCTGCAAAAATTTTCAAATTCATAAGATCGGAACTGTGGTCCATTGTCGCTTACCAGCTGATCTGGTAGCCCATATCTCGCACAAATAGATCTTAATGCCTCGATCGTTGCTAAGGAAGTAGTTGAACACATTTCAATTACTTCCGGCCAACGACTACATGCATCTAGCACTACAAGAAACATTTTATTCCTTACAGGACCAAAAAAATCTACATGAATTCTCTCAAACACCTGCTTGGCTTGTTTATATGCTAAAACTTCTGCAAGTGGAGGATTGGGTTTAAACTTGTTGCAAATTACACACTGTTTAGCTACTCTCTCTATATCTGCATCTATTAACGGCCACCACACGTAAGAACGTGCGATCGACTTCATTTTAACTATTCCTGCATGTGTAATGTGCAGCTCGTTTAAAATACTGTCGTGGAATTTTGTAGGTACTACCACCCTGTGTCCTAACATAATTACCTCTTGTTCTATACTAAATTCGAATCTCCTATTGAAAAAACGTTGCAAATCTTTATCCGTATTCTGTGTAGGCCACCCATCTTTTACAAACTTAAAAATCTTAGAATAAATTTTGTCACTTTTAGTTTCTTCCTCTATTGCCTTTGCATCCACCACGATATCTGAATTTTGTGCAACAAAATTCAAATACGTGTACTCTGTAGATTCCTTTAAAATCAAATTTATAGGTAATCTAGATAAACCATCTGCATTACTATTCCTTTTCCCTTCAACATATTCGATACTATAATCAAAACCACTTAAATACACCGCCCAACGCTGTAAACGTCCTGCTGCCGTTACTGGTATACTTCTCGTATCTCCAAAAAGATATTTTAATGGCTTATGATCGGTCACTAATACAAATTTGTGGCCAAACAAATAATTAGAAAACCTGTTTATTGAAAAATAAATAGCCAAGGCCTCTTTATCAATGACCGCATAATTCATCTCGGCAGTTGTTAATTTACGTGATGCGTATTCAATAGGTCGCTCACTACCATCCGGAAATACATGTGCTAAAATGCCTGCTACTCCATAGGAGCTCGCGTCACAGCTTACTTTGATAGGTAATTTTGGATCAAAATGTACCAAAATTATATCCGAAGCCATTACCTCTTTTACTGTGATAAATGAATTTTCACATTCCCTACTCCATGCAAAAACACTGTCCTTACTTAGCAATTTGTACAATGGATTTAAAAGTTTTGTAACATTAGAAATGAATTTCGCATAGTAATTAATCATACCGATGAAAGCTTTTACTTGAGAAACATTCTCGGGTCTTGGACAATTCACTATTGCTTTAATTTTAGAAGGATTTTTTTGTAACCCCTCCTTACTAATTATGTGCCCTAAATATTCGATTCTATCCTGTAGGAAATTACATTTCAATCGATTCAAACGGAATCCTGCACCTTTTAATTTTTGAAACACTACCTCTAAGTTTTGCAAATGTTCTTTGTTATTTCTCCCTGTCACTACAATGTCGTCCAGAAAAACGGTCACTCCTGTTACTCCTTGCAATACTTTCTCCATTATGTGTTGAAAAATCGAGCAAGCGGGTTTTGTACCGAAAGGCAGTCTCTCAACTTTAAATATACCTTTATGCGTACTCCACGCTAGTAAAAGTTTGGTGGATTCCTCTAGCTCTAACTGATTATATGCGTGACTGAGATCTAATTTAGAAAACTTCTCTCCACCCTGTAAAGCGGCAAATAAATTTTCAATTAATGGGAGGGGATATTTAACATCTTTCAAATAATTATTTACCGTAACCTTATAATCGGCACACAACCGAATTGTCCCATCTTTTTTTAATATAGGGACCAAGGGTGTCCCCCAAACTGAATCTGGAACTGGTGTAATTACACCTTCTTTTTGTAACCTGTCTAACTCTACTTCAACTAATCCTTTATAAGCAATTGGCAAATTTCTTGGTTTATGAAATTTAGGTGTCGTTCCTTCTACCACTTCCAATTTCACCTTTTCAAATTTAAAATGACCTAACTCATCTTTAAATAGCTCTGCATAATTATTTACTAAAACGTCTAAACTATCTTTACAATCATTTAACACGAACACATTTTTGCTACACATACTTACATTAAACCTTGCTAATAAATCTCTACCCAACAATGGGTTTCCACCATTATCGATGACTAATAATTCGACCATCTTACAATCACCTCCAATCTGCAAGCTTACGTTAATTTTTCCTTTTGGATAAATATTTGTACCATCATACGATTTCAAGACTGTCCTTGAAACCTGTAACGGTAAGTTATTAAACAGTTCATTGTACAATTTAAAAGATATTGCCGAAATGGCAGAACCTGTATCGATTTCCATTCGCAACCTAACACGATTAATGAAAACATCTACTTTAAAATTATGTGTAACCTCATTATCTAAGTGATACAAAGTACGCTCTAAAACAGAATCCTCATTTTGAATTTCAACATGTGATTGTGCTTCGTCTCTACTTTGCAGGTAATTTTGTCTTTTCATATTACAGATAGATGTAATGTGTCCCACTTTAAAACATAACCTACACTTAAAATTTTTGTACGTGCACTTACTGAAATTGTGATTCTTCTTACCACACGCGTAGCACTTCACCTGTGACTGTGAGCCCGACGCTTTCGCTGAATGTACCTTGTGCTGCGGACCCCTTTCAGCTCGCCTTTCAGTAACCCTCTTCTTGTCTATTGCAAACAGCTGCTGTCGACTGCTACCACCGCTTATCCGCAAGGATGCCTCCTTTTTTACCGCCATTTGAAATAGTTCGTCTAAGGTCTTCTGCGATGGATCCTCCTCTACCAGTCTGTCTAGCACCTTGCCATCCACCATCCCTGTCACAAACTTATCTTTTAAAACCATGGTTAAGTCGGCTCCAAATTTGCAGTTTACTGCCAGCTTCTTTACCCGCGCGAACCAATCGTTAATCTGCTCTCCTTCACTTTGCTGCATCTTGTAGAAAATTCTTCGTTCGTTGAAAATTGATATCGCTTTTGAATACTGTTGTGCCAACAATTTACAAATTTCGGCAAAAGTTTTTGTATCGGGTTTATCTGGATAACATAAATCGCGCAAGGTCGTATACACCGAACTACTCAACGCTGTAATTAACACCGGAACTTGCTTCGCTTCCGCAATAGAATTTGCCTTAAAAAATTGAACGATCCGTTCTTTAAAAATAACGAAATCTTCGTTACAGTCAAAAACTGGCATGGTTCCGACAACCGCCATTGCCACTGCCTTCTTAACCTCAACTACTGTTACTTTACTTGAAAAATTTTGCTCTACCCAAACCCTTTAAATGAATTGCTATATTTACCTCGTCGCCAGTGTTATGTATGCCGAAATGGCAGGGTGTAAATAAAAGGCATAAATCAATGTTTCGTTTATTCTTCACACGCCTTGTTACGTACTCGTCGAAAGTCGGGTTGGGAGAGAGCGATTTTGCTTGTCAACGGTCCGTACATGTTATCGTTCTTTTATACCGGATGCGTCAACATAACACCCTTGGGATCATTAAAGAGTGCAGTGTTGTAATATCGCATTACCTTAGTGACCTGATTAATATATCAATCGCGTGCGGTAAATTCCCTATTCGACTAAAATCTGCTAAAGTTACTCCGGTTTTTAAAAAGGGCGATCGCGCAGATCCGTCCAACTATCGTCCTATCTCGCAGCTGTCCGTGTTCTCCAAAATTATGGAGAAAGTGTTTTGCGAAAAATTAAGCAATTTCTTAAACAAGAATAGCATATTAAGCAATTCCCAGCATGGATTCAGGGAAGGATTCTCCACTGAAACCGCAACAATTGACTACCTCCAAGAAATCCACAATAATTTAGATCAACATCAAGTAGTGATTTCGGTTCTGCTGGACATCACAAGGGCATTCGACACCGTTGACCACGGTCTCCTGGCGAATAAACTAGCAGCAGTAGGTGTTAGAGGAAGTGCTAACGACTGGGTTATATCTTTTATCTCTAACCGAACTTTTAAAGTCCACCTTGATGGAGAAGAGTCCGAAGAATTTTCCACTGGCGTGGGTACACCACAAGGCAGCACTCTAGCGCCCCTGTTATTTTTAATTTACGTGAACGATATGGTCGAATATTTATCTGAGCATTGCAAACTATTTCTGTACGCCGATGACATCAATATCGTCATTTCCTCATCAACATTGGAAGAGGCAACCGCGAAACTCGAAACAGTTATCGCCCTTAAAAACAACCTGCTTGCGTTTTAATTATGGTAGAGTGCGCAGTGCTACGCCCTTAAAAGTACGTATAGACAATAATGATGAACTGGTAGCTGCCGAAACTGCTAAATTTTTAGGTACTACAATAGACAGCAAGTTAACTTTTTCCCATCACGTTGACGAAGTGTGTTCTAAACTTAAAAAATTGCATTACGCATTTATTTGTCTAAGCAACACTTTAGATCTTAAAGCAATTCTCACCGTATATTTTGCCAAAGTATACTCAATTATCAGTTACAACATAGTTGTGTGGGGCCAGGCTACAGAAGCCGAGCGTGTATTTATTCTACAAAAGAGAATAATTCGACGCATCTTTCGTCTGAAGTATCGCGAATCCTGCCGTCAAACTTTCAAAAATCACCAGCTTTTAACATTTATATCTATATATTTATATAAAATTTTAACATATATACATGTAAATATACATCTATTTAAACGTAACTGTGATAATCATAAGTATTCAACTAGAACTGGGCACAATATAATACTTACCTAAATGCAATCACACTAACTTCAAAAAATCGGTACATTACGCAGGCTGCTACTTGTACAATGCTCTACCACAAAAAATAAAAGAAATAAAAAATAAAAATCAGTACAAAAATGCACTTAGAACCTATCTAGTCAGCAATTGCTATTACTCGCTCCAAGAATTTGTGAAGTCATAGATGTTATCTGTTGTACATTATCTGTTGTACGTTATCTGTTGTACGTTATCTGTGGTATGTTATGTGAACTGTAATAATATTATAGATTAATCATTTTGTATATTACATAATAGTTAATGACTTACCTTTACATTTTAGAAATGGAAACAAAAGGTTAAATAAAATTATTATTATTATTATTATTATTACTCTCCGCCGTCAGCCTTTGGCCAAACACGTCTATCGTGACTTGTCCTATCCTCCGCTTCCCCGTCATCAGGGACACCTTGGTTTTTTTCGGGTACGAGGTTCAGGCTTCTGGTGCCCATCCACTAGGTGATCTTATGAACCGCTAGTTGAAGTGCCCGGGTGGTTTTGTCCGTCCCCCTCCCGGCGGCCACCACGGTTAGGTCGTCCGCAAATCCGAATATGACCACTCCCTCATCATCGCTTGTAGTATTGCCTTTCTCGACACCGTATTGAACGTGATTTTTACGTCAAGTGACGCCACTAAGCAGACAAGTCTTATACGCCATGTGCCCAGGTTCGCGGCCTAGATTCTTTTAACGATAGCTCGGACTGCGTCCACCGTCGGCCTTCCTTTGCAGAACCCGTGTTGCCTGTCCGATAGTTTACCTTCCATTTCCGCGCCAATTCTATCTTTAATGAAGCGTTCTGCAAACTTGCCGGCAAAATCGAGCAGGTTAATGGGCCTATAAGACCCGTTGGAAATTATCACCAGTTTGCTTAACTTCCATCCCTCCGGGTAGCGTAAATACATTGTGTTAGCAGAACATCTAAAAATCGAAATAATTTCCAAACGGTATGTTTTGCTGGAAAACTTTTTACGGCACAAACGTAGCACTAACCAATCCACCTAGCCTCGACATTTGTGCCGTCAATGTTCTGCTAACTTCACGGACCCATGATCACAAACGAAAATTTTTACTTTGCCCATAAATTGTTGAATAATCTTAAAAAGCATAGACAGGTATCTAATAAGTTGCACCTAAAAATATCATGTTGAAGTAGGTTGTAGATAGATACCTGGCAATACTAAAACTCGTCTACTAGCTTAACGCCAAAAACCACAATAGCGACCAAATGATTTTTTTGTTGCTCGATGATGGCAGCCCATGCGTTCAGTCTATTTCAGGTTTTTTTTAAGCGACTGCAGGCTGCAAGTACCTACCTACACTGGAAACATAAATTTAATTATTTGTCTGTTGCAATAAGTTGGATTTGGGATAAAAAAAACATTAACTAACATTAGATGTTGTATTAAATAGTAAATGTATTTACAAAAGGGCTGTTCTATATCTCAGAATTATCAAACACATGACGTACCAATTTTTTCATAGTAGTAAAGTAGTAAAAAAACGACGATGTTGCTATAATATGCATTATTAACAATAACAGCTGTCTTAATACGAGTTTTTTAAATAACATGTAAGAGTATCCGTATTGGTGCACCACAACGGCCGTTTGTACTTCTATATTACTTGTCTAAAACTTACACGTATGTTTAAATTCTTCCCATTCCTCAAATTATAAAGCTAAATTTTTTGGAACAATACTTTTTCAGCAGGTAAAGATGAATCAGAAATAACCACTATTAGTGTTTATATAACATAAATAAATAATAATTTACAAGCTTACTTATTGCACTTCCACTCTTTCTCAGTCTATTATTTCTGATACACCAACAACCATCACAGAGATAAGGTACACAAAATATGAATTTCCCCTTCATGCATATTATTTCTTGCCTATTCAAAATAACAAAAGAATAGTACTCGGATTATTTCACCGCCAACCTCGATTTTCCGTTAATACTATTTAGTTGTATAGTTTTAACAGAAAACGCAACTGCCAGTTTTCGTATAACGGAAGTCACACAGAAACTGTCCCACGTTATTAAACTAAGAGTAATATGTACACATAAACATTGTTGATTAATTAAAAATTATTACGACCATTTACACAAGGTATTACCTATATATAGGCAAGCATGCCACATTTGAGCACAACTTCTTCCATTCTAAAAATACGTTATATCACACATTCAAAAAATGAACTTGTACTATCTCAGAATTCCTTCTACAACGGAACATCAACCCATCTCCCATCCCAGGTATATGATAATCTTTTATCGGGGCTTTGTCAAGTCAAAGAAACTTGTATAGGCACCGTAAATAGAGAAAAGCATGCATAAACAATAACAGTTTATCATTCGCATTTTGGCACTTACATTGACTATATCCTTTTATACATCCAAAATACAGACCAAGCACAAAAATAGTAATTACTCTGACAGGACGATTCTAATTAACTGTGACGGATTTTCATTTGGTAGTGCGCATTCCAACCACATATAAAATAATCTCGAAAGTAGACAACTTGGCTGCAATTGTTTTACAATTTCGGCTGACTTGTTGTCAATTAGTAACAAAATCATTGACTATGTAATCTACCTTGTTTTAGTTTCGTCTGCGGGACCGCTCCTTTCGGAACGGCACCGACTATACGAACTTTGGCCATTTGCCTATTATCACTAAACTGGGGCGGCGGGGCTAGTACGGTATCCGGAGCGGCGTGACTCACGCCCGCCTTCATGTCGAACTCGGGCGGTGGTGGTAGGCAGAATTCTTCCTTCTCGTCGGAGTCGGCTTCGATCGGTGGCGGCAGCTGAGCTAACGAGACTGCATTGCGTGACAATCCTTCAACAAAATTCAAAAATTTACTTATACTTAAATACGCAAAAAATGAAAACCAGTTGCACATTATACATTGCTTATGCAAATTACTTGGAACACCATAACTGCAACTGCTCATAATTAAAAAAATAACCTAATGCTCCTTCACATTAGGCGACTTAGCAGCGGATAGGGAGGGGGCACTGGTTTTAGTTTGTCATTCATAGTACCTACTGTTAATGATAATGAAAGCTCTCAATGAAAAAATGAATTTCTACCAACCATTGTCATTTTCTTCGGCCCCTTATGGTGATCGGTTATAATCTATTATACCTGAAGGTGGATTATCGGAGGGTGACAAAGTAAAATGAACGAAAAACTTGTCGTGTCGTCACTAGCTTTTAAGTGTGTCTAGTGTTTAGCAGAGGTTGTACCCAATACTGGCGTTCTCGACGTTTTTTCCGACTCTGTTTCACAACAAGAAAAGCGAAAAGCAGCAGATCCTCGTCGGGATCCATCTTCTACTGATGTGACAGGTGACAGTTCTCGTTCTAGCAACGAGACGAAGCCGCAGAACGTGCGACTATGTCGCCTCACCGGTTAAGAAGCGCTATACACAATACACATTACGTAGGTCCAGTGAGCTAATTGAACTAAAATTATGCTCTGCTTTAGTTAATCTAACCAAAGAGTACCCATTCTTTGATCTAACAACCAAAATAAAAACGCCGTGTACGTCTGTAAAACGGGTCTTTATCTAAATCTCCAACATGTTATCTGAAATCCACCCAACGTGAAATAGTTATTTGTCCCTTCATATCTTTCATTAAACAAGGCAAATGATATACTTTTGCAGACATTCAAAGGATGATACAATTTCGTATTTTGCTCAAAAATAGCTAGACATGGAAAATACTAATAGGAGTAATAAAAGAGAAAGAACTGGACGAATGAAAATTAAGATGATACAAAATATACGGCCTTTGCTGGCAGTAGGAAGTGGCAAACATTTACTTCCAATAAACACTCTAGGCCAAAAAATGATTCTACTGGGTTATTCCAACCTATTATTGAAAAAGAATGAGAATTATTAATTAACAAAGCTAACGACGATTTATTACTGTTCAACTGATTCATTAATTAATCTTACCTGTTAACTGCCTTTGCGTTTTCGGTGACGGTAACGTCATGCTGCTGTGTTCGTGAGAAATTTTGTCAGTATAATCCAAAGGTCCAATAGGTACATCTTGATCTGAACTCACACCTGAAGAACTATTGTCTGCGTCTTCAACTATACTATCCCTAGTTTTCTTCAGGAAATCATCCGGATACGACTTGGATGACTTTAACATCGTCCGCCCTCGCTGAATTTCTTCCACGCTGAAACTATGCGGCACGGAGCTGCTACCCGAACTGCTGCCACTGGATTATGCATGCTTATAACAAACTTATATACGGATCTAGACGAGCTACAATACCTAGTGTTGCTGTTTCCACTATTTTCAACTGGATGCAATTGCACCGCGGCTAGCCTGTTCGATAGCTTGTTGAGTGACTTGTGCTCCTCCTCGCTTTCGCCTTCAGAACCGCTACAGCTGTAGTCCGGTTCCGGAATTGGGGGAGGCGCGCCTGTTTGGGATAGTATAACCATATTGTTGGGATGAGAATTGCTAACCAGACGCTTTTTCCTTTCCCTTGTACCTAGTATAAAACTGTCAAGTCAATTTCAAATTAAACAACACGGATTTTAAAAGTTAATGTTTGTAAAGAACAATTGTTACCAAACCAAGGTCTATCTCCAATTGAGAATTTGCCCCTTTTAGGATTGACAGTGCACTCATATTAGTGGTGGTGTGCGGACAATTCGCGCCCGGTTAATTCGCTCCTGGACATTTTGCGCTCGGATAATTCGCTCCCGGACAATTCGCATTCAGACAATTCGCTCCCAGGACAGTTCGCGCCTTGTTATTAATCGGTTGTGTGAGATGGAAGAATATGCCAGAAAAGTGCAATGGAGCAAATGATACACAATTTAAATTGTTGCAAAGAAACAGAAAAGTTGAAATTTAAAAAGAGAGCAATTCCGAAAATCCCAGCGTCAGTAGGTACCTATCTCCTAAACGTAAGAGGAATTTTGTGTGTGAATTAACCTGTTCATTCTACAGGTGTATAAAAATGTTGCGTTGTGTTGAATTTAACGGATAATACCGAGGTGTTGTACAGTGGTATGGTTTGTACCAGAACGCAACGATGCGTTGTGCAGCGGTAGGGAATGCCAATACGCGTCCGGGAGCGTATTGTCAGGGCGCGAATTACCCGGGAGCGAATTTTCCGGGCGCGAATTGTCCTACAACCATTGCATTATTTAAGTACCTTTTTTTAAAAACCTTCAAAGTAAAAAAAACTATAGGGCGATTACTGTGGAAAATTCACTATGAAATTAATAATCATATTCAATTCGCTATTAGATCGTATCATGTCATGGAGAACAATAAATAAACAAAATACTGCTGTTTATTGTTGAAGACCTCAAAGAAAACTTGGATTTAATGATTGGTGCCGAATTATTGGATCGCGAATTCTTTGGCGGTTCATTTACGACGAAAATTGGACATGCCAACATTATCTTCATTTTCTACCAAATGAATTTCAAGATATCTAGGATAAGTATATTTGGAAACACGACGTAATTTACATTAGTTTTAACACAACGGTGTCCTGCCACACAGCCAACTACAAGTACGAGAGCACCTAAACCAACTATTTCCAAAGTCATGGATAGGTAGGAACGAGTCGGTCCTTTGGTCACCAAGATCACCAGATCTTTCAATTTTAGATTTTTTTCCTAGTTTTTTTTCTTTCCGGTGTTCTAAAAGGGTTTAATTTATCAGCGAACGTATGCGACAAAAGAAGAACTACGTGATGGTGTGGTAAATTCCTTTCGCAATTTAGATAATTAGGATATACGGAAAGCTGTAAATTGTATCGTGAAAAGGTGTTGTGTGTAAATATTAATGATGCGACATTTTGAACATTTACCGAAACGCTTCTAGTAAAAACAAACATCGCATACCTATAGCATAAATTAAATGTGCTCATGCGCGAACTGCGCAACGGCAACTTTTTTGTTTATGGAGATATTTCTTTGAAAATTTAACCATACCGGGTGGTGCCTAGCGCGACGCAGCATAGGGATTTCAATGGTAATTTCTTTATAGTCAATTACTAGCTCCCCTAATTATTTTAGAGCAAAAGTCTAAATACGTTTTCTTTAGAGAAAAAAATACTGCATCAGTTCATACTATTACTTATAATTTTCCGTTTTTCAAAACCGTAGAAATTGACGTCGGCCGCTTCAGGTCATGTTACTTAGTATGGTACTTCTTGCGGTACCTATTCTAAATGGTTTCTTTTGTTGAGAAAATAAGTTATAGTACACCAAATAAAAACGTTGATAATAGCTCTTAAAAAAATATTCAAGGATTTCATTTGGTGTAGGTACAACTTATTTTCTCAACAAAAAAAACCATTTGGAACTGGTACCGCAAGAAGTACCGCAGAGCCTTAAGTAACATGACATGAGGCGGCAAACGGTCGGTTTTAGCATACTCGGATAGGCCAATAGTGGAACTCCATCGGTTAAAATTTTGACCGCTCTCGTTCAGTGGATTTCGAGCTAGCTCCCCTTCTACGAGGTCATAAATAACTATAATATCAAGCTACGTTTTGTATGCAGCTTAGTAAATGTTTGTATCATAAAATGGTCATATACTCGTAGTCCAACAAAATTAGTGGTACATTTTCCTAGTCCTACGCTTAGAAGTTTTTAACATCTGCGCAGATCATTAGCTACCTCTATCGAGAATTTTCACAGAAGGAAAACTTGACCGTGTCGTTAAACCCAACCTACTCACAAAGACTCAGCCTGTTATTAATTACTGAAAAAAACCAAGGGGGCTGCTGCTGGACTATAAAAGCAATGAGATTCAGATTTGGAGGTGTAAGTTTGGTGTGTATATTCAAAACAATAACATAAAAAGAACATGTACAATTTGAAAGTGTGAGTGAAAATTTTGATCTACAACCCATAGAAACTGCTATCTCCGAACTGTTACAGTAAATTTTCTTGTTCATGGTTGTGTAGTAATTGGTCATGCATTTTGGCGTTTCTAAACAGAGCACAGCAGCATAATATACAAAACATTGCAAGCATAGACATAAGAGAAAGCAAAAAAAAGTAGTACATCATTCTTGTGTTTACCTGCGGTAGAATGCGAACGAGAAGCTCTTATAGGTTGAGCGTATGGATTGCTATTTTTGCCGGGTAGTGTAGATGTGTTAACAGGCTTGAAGGTAGAACTAGTGCGCATGCTATGTGATTTGCGAACTTGCTTCCTTGAGGAATGTGACGGTAAACTTCGAGATCGATAACCAACAGTTTTCATGTCTTCAGGTGAAGCATATAATTTAGCGCTAGTTGTCGGTCTAAATGAAGATGCTACACCTGAACGACAGCAGTATAAGAATCTATTTAAAAAATAAAACTCATCTTACCTTCTTCGCCGATATCTTTATTGGTTAAATTGTTATATTCGGACGATAATCCGCGCGAAATATCGACCTTAATTAATTGTCCTATGGGTGGTGGAGGGGGAGGGTGATTTGGGGGAGGTAAAGTATTTCTATTGGCGCCATGCACGGTAACATCCTCTTGACTACGATGGCCTTTAAATGAAAATCCATTTGATAAAAATATCTCTTGGTTGGCCAAGTCGGGTGTGCTGTGAAAATTTCTTCGCAGCTCGCTTCCCACATTGAAAAGTTGCGAGAAACGAACTTTCGCGCTCTGAAAGATGGCTCTCTTTAACAAGTAACTTACGAAATATGTGACCAAACTCACCTTACTTTTACTTCGTTTCATTTCGGCTACACTAGCATATACACGACTCGAACTTGATTTAGCAGGGGATCCTGGAGCGTTGGAATTGCTTTGGAAATGCGAGCTGCACATTAAACTACCACTCTCCCCTCGCTGTCTTTGGAAAAGTTCCTGTAACTCTGCAGTTGTAATACGACTAGAAGTGGGGCGTTGACGGATCGAGGCTGTCCTCGGTTGCGAAGAAGTGGAATTGTTTGGAGTTAATTGATGTATCGACTCTGCGGAACTGGACTTGGTCATATCATCATTATCTTCCTTTTCTCCGCCTGCTTCCAATCCCGCAACCATGCTCTTCGCTCTGGCTCTGCCGACAGTTAAAGTAGTTTTAGGATCTCTTCGAGGAGGCAGGGGGGCATGTATGGCACGACTGATATTCCCGTAGTTCCCAGATTGATAATTCATTTTGCGCGGTAAAGTAGCACATTGCCTATTTATCGGTACTTCCATAGTACCACCAGGAAGTGCGACCGTTGACTTGCTGCTAGGTAACATACTGGTCATTTGCGTTGTCCCTAAAGATACGACGGTCATGGAAACCAAATCGCCCGATTTCCTGATTAGGTCCACCACATGTTCGTGTGACGCGGACGAGACGTCTTCGTTATTAATTTCTAAGAGAAAATCGCCTTTCCTTAATCCCGCTCTATCGGCGACGCCTCCAGGGTCTACGTCGTCTAAATACTGCAATGCGGGAAACTTTTCTGAGGGCGTGAGTTCCATTAAAGGTGACGTTGCTTTGGCACCGCGAAGAATGAATCCAAAACCTTTGCGCCCCTTATGAAGGATTACTGTTCTTGGTTCCGCTGGCAATCCCGTGCATCTACAAGTCAACAAAATGGTTTTTAGATCCCAAGAACCTAACTAACCGGATGGAGATATAGTGATGCATCAACAACGTTTCTGCGAGCAAAGCAAATTAGCCGATACGCCATTCACGCACTTTCAACTTTGATAATAAGAGAACCTTGACAGAACGCCTCATAGTGCACTAAACTGAATGCTTTTTCCAACTCAACTTAAGACTTCAAAAGACCTAACCCAGTACTTCCTTAAACTGAAGGGGTCTGCTAAAGGAACACTTACATTTTTTTAAGCCTTGGAGCCGTAGCGAAATATTTGGCAGACGTTTCCCTCCTACCAACCACTCTACTCCCGCCGCTACTGCTGGTAGGTATGCTAGGAGTCGGTTTACTGTCTCTTGCGACGATCATCATCGGCGCAGGTATGTTGTGATGTCGCAGCCTAACTTCCTGTACACAATGCTGAGGGAATAAGCCGCTTTTTCCACCACCTCCCGTTCTGATCGTTCCCTCAAGATAGCCGTCATCAGACGAACCTGTTACTATTAAGATTATTAGTAATGGAAAAGAGTTAAAAAAAGAAACTTACTTTCGATAATATCACCCTCGCGAATGTTGAGATGTCCGTCCAAGTTCGAACAATAGGATTCGATGCAGACCACAATTGCACCGGGCATGGATAGGCTGCAATTTGTAGTGTCCGAATTTGCTGTACCAACCCCAGAGCTATCGCTTATAATGTCGCTAGTATCTCCTAGATTTTTCTCTGTAACACCCAGTGCGAGCACTGAATAATTCGCAATTAATAAAAACAAATCCACTTGTGGTGGTTTGAAGAAATCTAATTAGCCATTCTTCGGTACATAGAATGCAAATGCAATGCACATTTACATGCCGTTGAATGTAAACGTAATTATGATGTAAAGAAGGTACGTACCCGTCACAATGCTCGCGGTGTCGGTCTCGTGGCCGGCGGGCACGCTTCCTTCGCTCAAGCTGGAACTCGCAGAACTGAAAGGAACAGAGGAACGGTCGCTGGGACACGGAGAGGGAGGTAAGGCAAGACAGCTCATTGAAGGGGCTCTAGGCAGCCAACCTACGGCAGACCGCCGCTTCGGGTTATAGCTTGGAGGGCCACGAAATGGGACTGGAAAGATAGCTATGATTCTAGAAAGCTGATTTCCAAATATCTTATGTGTTAGTGATACGCAATTTAAAAAAGACTACAGATTGTTTACAAAAAAGGAATCTACTGGTACGGTCTGAGATATAGGTACACCATTTACTACCTGCAAGTAGATAGATATTCCCAGTTGCATGCAATCAAGAATTTCAGTACAGCTTTTACTGACCAAAACTAAGAATTTGCAACCGTATCAAAATACGCTTTAATATTTAATCAATTTCCAAGAAAAAAACAATGCACTCATCATCAATAAAGTGTTTTTATGTTTGTTTCATTTGACCCAAAATGAAATGCCTTCCGAGTATTTCACGCTCAGCGTTCCAAAGTAAATGGAAATTTAAGAACTGCTTTGGAAAATATCAATTAATTAACTTAGTGAAGTGGCAAATGTTTGCCGACCTATTTACTGAAACGTGGGTTCTGAAATGTATGTAAATTTTACTACCATAAAGACCATTGTTGTAATGAAGAACCCGTCAAAGAATTAAACCTGAACAACATGCTACCTAACATCCGCAAATTTTTGAGTTTTAATCAATCAAAACGGTCAAGCGCGCACAACTAGTAAAGGAACTCATGCATCGATAGTAATAAATATAGTAATAATGTAATACAAACCAACATCTTCGGCTCGAAAATTTTGTATCATTTCCGCCAGCTCCATATTTCCGGCGATCACCGCAACTTGGTAGGGCGTTTGGTTCGCGTAGTTTAACGCCTGTCGATCTGCCCCACGAAAAAGCAGCTGCCTGGCGCAAGATTCCTGGTTGTTGACCGCGCAAACGTGCAGGGGTGTATTTCCAGAGGCGTTTCTCGTGTTCATGTCGGCGCCGTAAAAGAGGAGATGCTCCAAATGTTGAAGAAGACCAGTTCTGCAAGCCTAAAATATCTTTCTTGTCATCACAAAGGCCCGACTGTTGTCGACAAGCTTTAGTACCTGGTGAACCTCCTGCCAGCCTTGCAGATCTTGAGCACCGATCGTCGCGTGGTCGTGGAGGAGAGTTTCGGTAAATTGCGAGTCGACGTTGTGGGTTATGGTTAAGTAAAGAGGAGTTAGCCCTTTACCGTCCTTGTAATTTGGTGATGCACCTAATTCTAAAAGAGTTTTCATAGCCTCTAAAGTCTTATGCTCTACCGCTCGATGCAAGGCCGTCGCTCCGTCGCGCGTCCTATAATCCAAAAGCGCGCCACCGTTCACTAAGGCTATTAAAACTTTCGCTGGCTGCTTAGTACCCGTCGCTATCGTTAGGGGAGTTTCTAAAACTGCGCATTGCAGTGTACGGAACCCCCACATCTCTACTTACCTCCCGAATCTTGGCAGTGAAAATTAGGATCGAGGCCTTTGGAGCACATTTTCGTAATTTTTTCTACTTGACCGTTTGAAACATAATCCAAAAATCTTCGTAAATTGGTTCTTGTGTGAATATTTTTGAGTTGCTTTTCATCCAGATTCATCATTTTGTATACTCTTCGTTTGTATTTCAACTGAAAAATCAAAAAGCATTTCAACCAAAATACTAACTAACTACTCTAATTATGTATGTAAAGTACAGCTCACATTTTCATTTACAATGAGCCAGTTTATTATTGTATTTATTTAACAAGTTGAAATATAAAGATTTGCGTAGGTAGGTATTTGGTATAGGTATTTCTATGTTTCAAGTCAATATTATAGTTGATTTCAAAACGCAATTTATGTTACAATGTAATTATTAGATATTATACCACGCTCTTTTAGTTTTAGAGGTATTTATTAATTGTTATTGAACCGTAATGATGGTTGTTATACAAAAGGCGTGCTTCTGCATTAGGTATTACCTTTAAACTGTGTAGGTACTGTAAAGAAAACAAGATGTATTATTGAAAATGTTGTTGGCGAATTTTCCTCAAAGTGAAAAATTAGCTGCACTTTGTCGTCCGTCCGTCCGTCCGTTACACGTACTCCTCCTCCGGCTCGAAGGACCAGGCATCATCTAGATAATCTAAATTTGGCCGATCCGCTATTTTATAAACCAGGATGCGTCGATGTATTGCTCGGAGCAGATGTATTTTCGAAGGTTCTGCTTTCTGGACATGTTTCGGGAAATATAGGTGGACCCGATGCTATTAATACCATTTTTGAATATGTTGTTTTAGGACGAGTTTTACCTCGCTTTCAATGGTATAGTATGGTTGTCTTTGAGTGTCAATTCTGTGTGCTACTCTGCTACATCGCCAATATTACAACCGCCGCGCCGCTATCGCCTTCATCCCGCTCGCCTCTATAACTACACCAGCGAAACTACATATAATAAGGTAAGGTGTCTCTTATCTTTTTTGATTAATTTGTAATTACATTTATGCCAGCCTAAAGGCTTTATTTTGGGCTTGATTCTTTTTTATACACGACTGAACCGATTTGAAAGATATAGGGTGCATGTGAAAGGGATTGGTCCAAGGATTCCGCATACCGATATTTTTGATTTTGCGCTTGCGCAGTGTCAAAAATTTGGTTTAAAGCATGTGCATGCAATGCCAACTTTTTTATTTATGAAGATATTTACATGAAACTTATGTATATGTTACATTGTTACCGCTAATGTTAGAAAAACGTTAATGTGGAGATTAACGGTTCAGATCCGTTAAAGTGCGAAATTTCCATTTTCGAATCTCTTATACAAAACTTTTCAGCTCGCAAGCGCATTTAAGGGAACGTCTGTTTCAAATTTCATCTAACTCGGTGGGGGAGTTTTGGCGGAAGAATCATGTGTAAAAACAATCTTAGGTTCTATTTATAAAATAACAATATTATACATTATACTCTATAGCATTAATTTAAAATTAAGTAAACCATAAATCCAATACCTTAGGTGCTACAAAGAAAATTTTGTCGAAAAACATGGTGTAAAATTACTTTTTACAAAAAAAAGAGATCCTAAACCGTTAGAAACAGCCATAAAATGATAATGAGCAAAGTTTTAGCAAATTTAATAGGCTTTATTTTTATATACCGGGTGGTGCCTCGCGCGACGCAGCATAGGGATTTCAATGGTAATTTCTTTATAGTCAATTACTAGCTCCCCTAATTATTTTAGAGCAAAAGTCTAAATAAGTTTTTTTTAGAGAAAAAAATACTGAATCTGTTCATGCTATTACTCATAATTTTCCGTTTTTCAAAACCGTAGAAATCGACAAAATAAAAAGGTTCATTTTACAATAAATCAAATATGCCTTGGAATTACCTAAAAAAACAGCGATCACGTTTCATTATTTGCCTTTGACGTATATTAAATTTATACTTGTTTATAAATTAGTTAAAGAACTGCAAGTGCAATAACTTTCAAAAACCATCAGGAAAACGACAATACATTCAACGTTTTGGCTGCAGTAGCGGAAAATCCGAATATAAGTTTAGGAACAAATCTTCTTCAAATCAGTTTTTTTTTCTTCGATTATGTAGGTACTCTGATTCTCTCTGATAAACAAATAGTATCTGATGCAGATGCAGCATACATTCTCTAAAAAAACATTATCCAATTGCCGCTTTTTCTTGCATGGGATAGTTGTAACAGAATTAAATATGAAAATCGTTCGACGTCAAACAACCATAATAAATTTAGATGCGATGCGCTTGTAGTTTGTTAAAAGATTCCAAAGCATCACTGATTTATAAAAATGTAATTTTTTATTTTGTCGATTTCTACGGTTTTGAAAAATGGAAAATTATAAGTAAAAGTATGAACAGGTGCAGTATTTTTTTCTCTAAAAAAAACTTATTTAGACTTTTGCTCTAAAATAATTAGGAGAGCTAGTAATTGACTATAAAGAAATTACCATTGAAATCCCTATGCTGCGTTGCGCTAGGCACCACCCTGTATAACAGCAACTTCGCTGCGACTAACCGTACACGAGATATATGCAAAAAACCGAAAAAAAGTCGCACATTTTGCTACGTCACGAGTTTAGCTAACTTCATAGGGGTGGGGACTTTTATGATAAACATCACCAAACGTGTTCTAACACATCCCAGAGGAAAAATCTTTGGAAACAAGAGGTGCAGCTACAACCCGTTTTTCACGATTCGTTGACTGGACTATTGCTCAGATTATCCAATGACAACGTGGCATCTTTCATTTGAGTCAAAAATTTAAAGTTTTGGAAATGTGTGAATTGCTCGATTGTAGAAAAAATCTTGTGTGTAATTCGAGCGCAAATTGATTGTCGATTTCAATCGACAATATATCATTTTGCGCTCTTAATACACAAATAGCTATTTAACTGCATACTTAATTTAATAAGTTTGTTTCAAAAATGTTGTAATGATTTATCTTTTCACTATTTAAACAAGATTTGCTACTGCTGAGTTGATTTTAGTGAGTATACCAAATTAAAGGTAATTTTAGCAATTACCTAACTCTAATGTTTTATTTAAGCAAAGATCCATTTTTTCAGATTAACACATACTTGGTTGTTAATCTCTAGATTAAATAATAAAATAATTAAATAATACATTGCTCACTTGCATCGGCAAAATAACTGCTGTGTTGGAACCTGTAGGCCTAAGACGTGACGACAATAAACGTCCTGAGGCCATGACCCTTGTGCCCTGGACAAAAGGACAAATGCTAGTTTGGGATGCGACCTACACTGACACTCTAGCACCATCCAAAGTTAATTTGTAAAACGAGTGGTACAGTAGCTGCATCTGCGGTAGGTATAAAAATAAGGAAACATAGTTCAATTATAGAACAGAACCATATTTTTATACCTTTCGCAGTGGGGACATACGGACCTTGGTGTAGAGAAGCGCGTAATTTTGTGGAGTGCCTGGGAAAACGCATTACCAATATTACTGGAGAACCCCGAGCTACCACTTCCTTGCGACAAAGAATAAGTACTGCTATACAACGATGGCAATGCGGCACGTGTAATGGGGACGCTTCCAACTGCGATCCCCATGGAAGAAATTTATTACTTATTATGAATGTTTAATCTTGAGAAATTTTTCATTTGTTTAAATAAAATTTATTTTTCTTAAAATAATAATAATAATAAAGTACAAAACATAACTACAAAACTAAACAATCACTATTTTACAGATCACTAACACAAAACAGCACTAATGAAAAACTCATTCCACCATCTCTACACTCACTCAAGCAATACTGGTCTGACTTATGGACCAAAGACATTAAACACAATTCACATCCCCCTTGGATTACCACAGAAACCACACGCACTGAATACATTACCCCTATGAATAACACAAACATCACTACAACAGACATCATTCAAACCATTAATCACTTACATAACTGGAAAAGTTCAGGCATTGATAACATTTTATTAACATTCACAACTTTTGGTGGAAATATTTTACCCACACTCACTCTTACCTTCCGCAACATCAGGTTTAAAATATGGTTTTGCACATGTTATAGCCATACCTACGCTATACCTATTAGTTTAATTTATTTAGTAAAACATCCCTAAAAACCCCGGTATGTATTTAATAAGCGACAGAGCAAAGCGATGCAAGGGGAATTGATGGTGTCCGTGTCTGTCCGTGAACACGATAACTGTCAAACGTTTGGACCACAAGTAATAAGCCTATTGAAAATAGACCAAATCCAATGACCCGGAGGGAAACAAAACACCTAGGTGCTCTGCCGCTTTTTTAGATCAGCTTTAGGGGTTTATTAGACATTAGAGCATTCAATTGATCATTTTCCTACAGGAACTTATAGTTTTGTTTCACTTCAAATTCAATATTATGGATCAAATCGAAATGCAACTCACCTCAAGATATCCTACAGGTCCACTAAAAGGATAATCTCCCAGACGACGCTCTTCGTCCAAGAATTTGCCGGCTCTTCCATTCTCTGGTGGACAGAAGAGGCCATAATTGAAGCTTTCTTTCAACTCCTATGAAAAGAGAAGAGTGGACTATTAAAATAACTTTTCAAATTGGCTCGGCAATATAAGTGACGTGAATGAATGAAATGTTGATGGTGTGCTGTTCTTGTTTAAGCAATGATCCCAGTCAGTCAATTAATCAAACTGACAAATAAAAAAGAACTTAATGGAGTGAAGAAATGGAATAATGAGTCGAACGCTCATTCATGCAAACAAGCGGCATTCTGCACGCTCAATTAAGATTGGTAATCAAATATTTAATCGTGCTTCTATTAATGAAAGGTACGTGCGAAGGTGTGTGTAAATTTAAGAATGTGAAAAATTGCTAATGTAGTGCGCGGAAATGAGACATGTTCACCCACAACCTACTGTAATAAGCATAGATAAATATAAATCTGCTTTCTGCTGTGTTTTATTAGAAAATTTAATGCGAATTATGTACGCAATTAACCGTTGAATCTGAGCAATCAACGCATTTCATTTTTTTTTCATTTTAAATATTCGCCGAATATTGGAAGGGTAGTGTTTTTCAAATGCAAATTTCGTCTTGACCTGGGAATCCTCTATGATAAATCCAGCGATACTACTTAATCTCGAAGAATTGCGTGGGGAAGAAAGTTGCTTTTCTCAAATTTATTATTGTTGTAAATTACACATGCCCTCAGTGCATTGTCATGAAATTATGTTGGTAAGGGGTCATAAATCAAGACAACCCTTTTTTATTTAAATTTTTTGCAAAGGAACTCCGTTTAGATAAATGACTTCCATTACTATACGAGTAATAATTTTGAATTTATCCTTGAGTAAACAACAGGCTTCAAATGTAATTCCTGGAATAGTTGCAATTGCAATGCATTCATGATTTTCACCTTTGGCACTAGCTTTAGTTGTATGGCCAATTACTTTTTGTTGCCAAGATTTTACACATACTGAGTACGGTTTCTATAAACGAATTTTAAACAAATACGCTTAGAGAGCGAACCGGTCTACAGTTAGTGTGTAGGTATAGAAGATTTTTTGAAAAACATTCTTTAATAAAAGGCTTGACTAATTACAGCTTTCTTTTTGTATAATTTAGCTCCGCTCTAATGTTGCTTCCTAACGCTCATGAAACTGTCAAACAGTTAAAAATCCTGGCCAATTATCAATCAATATTAGTGAACTCTTTAGATGGTTTAAATATTGGAATCCACCACTAAAATTGCAATTGGCAGTATGAGAGCACAATTTATTGCCAAATGCTAATTGGAAGTATAGTATTCCATTTATTCAACGCAGCTGGAGCATTTTATTATGTACAAACCAAAATGTTACGTAACTATCCCCAGTTTTAGTTTTGTGGAGCGCTATGTATTTACTTAATACAAAAATATAGAAGAATTCATAGCAAATTTTTTGTGAAATCCGCGCCAAAGGATAAAAACTATTTTAAAGAAAGAAAAAGTAAGCCAAATTCAACGACGACATTTATTTCCACTACTAAGAAGTGTAATCTGACTCAAAAAGAAAAAAAAACAAAATAAAAAGCTGTGACTAAACCTTTACTTAAAGTCAAATGGAGATACAAGGATAAACAATAAAAAATTGCTGTGCACAAATACCACCCACGCACCTAAGCATGAGCGATTCTGCCCTTTTATGTCTAAGAATATGTGTGCTGTGTGCCAAATTTGGTTAAAATATGCGGGTGGTAAAAAAACAATTAAAACTTTCTCGTACTCCACCCTTCTGACCCAATAGCGAATAGCCTAACACTCTTCAGCAGACAGAAAACAAAAAGCTGCGAATGAACTTTTGCTTAAATTGAAAGGGGGGTACAAGTATTAAACCTTTACTTAAATGGGGGGGGGGGGGGAGATAAGAAAGCGCATTTAAAAATAACATTTTCTTCATTCTTGTACTCCACCCCACGCTGACAAGGATTACAAGGCGCGGGAATGACATACGAAGGGTTTAGATCGTATCTGGTGCTATCGATAAACAGATGCAAAATAATATACCCAAATTCAAGGGAGATTTCAAAAAATGTGGATTAAAAACTGCGTGAATTCCGTCTATCCGTGCAATTCATATGGTAGGTAATTAATTATCGTCCTGAAAGGTAAAAAAACGTGTACCCAATGAAACGCGGCTTTCAGAATTGGCGACTTTTTCCCTGAAAGAATATCTCGAAGAATATACATATCTAGAATTTAAATTTTTCTTCAGTAAATTCTTGTCGCGGATTTTTCTAAAAACCTACCATTAAATTAAATGTAGTTTCCATTTCGAATTATAAATTATACGTATGTGACGTACCAACCCGCATCGCTTCGCCTTTATGCAATTGCATATTACATCCGAAAGGAACATTTTTGCAAACGAAGTACGCCACTGGTTTAGCGGCAGGGTGCATGGGCACCATGACCGTTGACCTAAGCAAGAATCTCCCTCGAGTCTTTTAATAAAACGCGCACCGCACGACATTGCACGTAATCATCGTAATTCCATTTGTTTGTTACCTCAACGCAACGTAGGTTAAGGTCATTTGGCGTCAACAAATCATTGTTTTCATTGCATCCTTCGACTGCAATTCATTAGTTCCGTGGCGGCGACGATTTATTTGTGTTGAATGGACGGAGGTTGCAAATTACGAAACATTCATTTGCGATTGCTAATTGCTATCATCAATGTCAATATATTTTATTTATTATATTTGTAAATTACTATATTTTAGCATCTTTTTTTTCTACTGATTCCAAAATATAATAATCTACTAGAACGTTTTATTTTCTACCCTTTCGGTATTGAAACACTTGGCGCTTGGGGTCCATCTGGAAAAAATTGCTTCACATATTTGTAAAAAAATTTTTTGAAAAAACAAAAGAAACGTTGCTTTGAATTTTTCAAACAAAGATTTAGTTTAGTTGTTCAGCAGGGACATGCCGCTTGTATTTTAGGCACTCTACCCCCACAGACAGCATTTGATGAAATTGTTCATATTTTAGGTATACCGTAAACCTTTTTTATGTTTTTAAACAATTTTATTTATAATGTAATAAATAAACAGGTACAAGTTTATGACAGACGTGATACGATCCAAGGCATTTCATGAGGGGAAGAGATTTAATTTTATAGATGGGAAAATTAGCCACCAATCAGTCCATGTTATTTGGTCGATGATGTAGAGTGTAGACCATAACGTGCACGTAATCCGCGTCAAGTCTCATTTACAGAGCATTGGTTTTGATAATAAATTTTAATAATTTCACAACGTTCCTGTGGCGTAAAATGTTCCATGGTATAAATTTTGTAACACACTAACCTACACAACTGTCAACTAAGAATGGTTTTCATACCATTATAATCACTTCAACATTATTTCCGAAGGATCAAAAATTTACATTGGTTTTGGTACCAGAAAAAATACAAAAATAATTGACGTTAAATAAGTGTGCGGTGCCTTTAGGGCATTCTGCCTTAAGTTGGCTCTTACGGGATGTGATTCAACATCTTCATTTAGAGGAAGGTCCAAAAGTAAGATTACTGCCACTATGGATAACAATCCCAGAAGTCCGTGCCGCCTGTCAAGAACTGATCAAATGTGGCTGTAAAGGAAATTGCGATAAAGCTTGTGGCTGCGAAAAAATAATTTACATTGCACAGCTTTTTGTAAGTGCCATTTGGAAATTTGAAATATTAATTTGGGTAACTACAAAAATATTTCGTATTTATTGTTTATAGGTAATAAAACTTCTTTCGTTCAAAGAAATATTCTTATTATATAATATACACATATGTATGTACCGACATAACTTCACCAGACGAGCGACGTACAGACACAGACACTAATCGTTACTTGATTTTAATTCGTGCGATTAGTTAACCAGGCTAGACCTGAGTTCTCAAAGAAACACCGAGAAACTAATTGGTACAAAATCTGCATACAATACCGCGATAATTCATGTAACACCTTGAACAACAATAACGTAATTTATATTAAAACCATCAATCATGAAAGCTTGGGTACGTACAAATAACCAGAAGCGATCGATCATTTATTAATTATTATTAAATAACTTATTTGGTGGCGTTTCGTGATTTTTTGTCGTTGCGCGCCCTCCTTTTGGTGTGCACGGCGTGACCTTGAAAAACTATATCGATTTGGTACACACCTGAAGGTACGATTGGCACGTGGGAGAATGATTAATGTGCAATCAAAATCCAAGAGAAATCGTTTTGCATTATTTGATTACGTAACTGTTGGACGTAATTTACAATTTCTTTTATCAAGAAAGGATTAAATGATAAAGCGTGGGCGAGTTTTCTCTTCCTTACATTCCTTCATTTCCAAAAACTGGACACTCCCTTTCTCAAACAGGATCAATCGAAACTCATGACGTTAATATTCATACAAAAGGGGTGCATATTTTATGCAGCTCTCAAATTCAATGGAATTAGATTACAACTACTAAATCATACTATTTATGATATTGTTATGCAGACACGTGCTTGTGGCATTAGTGTAACGAGCAAAGCAGAAATGAAAGAAAAAGTGTAACTAAATACCTACCCGGTACCAATTGGCCACCTGAAGACGTGCGAAAGCATCAGCAGACAAAAACAAAACACAATATAAAGTTAATACTTATACAAAACACTACCTAGGTATATACTACAGTTATTCATCTTATTTATCTACAGTAAAGTGTAGAGTTGGTGCCATATCTACTTGCGTAGCACGCACACTTTGACTTGAATTTTATTAGTGCATGGGTGTACTGTACAAATTCTAACGTAACTTGGACGTTTGTGTCATGTGTGCAATCGATAGGAAATGAATTTGTGAAACTAACCTTCGGCAGTGCGGCAAGGCATTGTTGCTTAACGTCCCATACGAGTTGGTCCCGAGGAAATTGTAGACACTTCTGCACGTTAAGCTCAGGCACGTGTATACGTACCAATAGGAAACCCTCATCGGGGCCACGTTCCCCGTCATCCTCCATCTCTTTTACTATCTCTTCACATCTGCAACAAAGAACCCGAGATTAATTTTTTTTAAAAAACGCCCTCACGCGTAGGTCACATTATAAAATGTAGGTAGATGAATGGTTACCTACCATAAGAGGGTAATTGGTAGGTTCACACCCATCCACTGTCAGAGTAGTACCTAATGATAGGTCATTTGTGGGGGTATCCCTCGACGCTCTTACATGAAAGGAATCGGCGTTATAAAAGCGTTTCGTTTTAAAAGTAAATAGGTACGACTATATCATTACACCACCTTTGCCGTAATTTCGATTGTAACACACAATAATATCATTAGCCTTTCTTTAATAAATGTCGAATTTTTTTTCGCAAAGGAAAAACTACATGTACCTACGTACGTATCATATGTAAATTATTACTCGCAATTTCTGTAATTTGAGCTTATAAAAATAAGATGCAGAACACGCAAAGACGATCGCTTTTTCAGTATCGTTATATTGGAAAATTTCCATGTTTATGTTGGGTGATTACTGTGCGCGACACGATTGCCAATTAACGTTCTGTGCCCAGTTAGTCAAATGACAAAGTAGGGTCTCAGGATCAATTCTGTAATTATTATGCTCGGGGGGATAAATCTGAAGTAACAACGTTTGTAGCGATAGCCAAGTGAACATCTATTAATGTTCATAATCAACCCAGTTTGCACAATTGAATAAGACCTAAAAGTATTCTTTCAATAAGCTTTCGCGGATTCCGCTCTGCAATAAATTATTTTTGTTGATGTGATAGCTGATAGCTCTCATCCCCTAAGAGGAGCTTTTTAAATGGTTTTGGGTATACGACCCTCATCTGCATTAAACAAAGCTTTCACCTCCGTCAGTTAAAGTTGATAGTATCCACTGAAAATAAAGAATTTAAATAAAGAAATTTTGCCGAAATTTAGGAATCTTTATGGATATTCATGTTCCTTCTAGAGCTTAAAAGTCTTTCACCTTCCAACAAATAAAAAAAATCCTCACAAAAGGGTATTAAAAATGACCGGAACTGATGAAAATCTTCTAAGCATACTTAAAATATGAAAAACTAGTTACCAAAGGCATATTTACCGAGGAGAGTCTTCTGCGTCTCATCATTGAATAAAAACACTATAAGAAGCCTAACCCCGTGGAAATAAAGCGCGACAGAGTTTGAACTGAGAATATAATGGGAACACTGTCAATAGAGTCGATTCTTGAACTGAGAAGAATGAGAATTTGCTTTCCTCCTATTTACCGGAGAGTTACAACCAATGCGGGTGCAAGGGGATTTGTGAGATTTGTCGCGCTTTCTTCCATAAGCGTTAGGCTTCTTATAGTGTTTTTATTCAATGGTCTCATATAGTATAGAGAAAGATAGAAGGGGAGAAAAAATGCTCCTGGTTAAAGAAGGCAAGACATTGTTCAAGAATTAATACAAGAATCTCAACAGGAATTAATGCACCAAATAGAGAACAATTTGCCACATATAACAAGTCTATTGAAAATGGGCCACATCCAAAGACGCCGTAGGGTCACACCGAAATGCTCTGCCGCTTTTTTAGTTGCGCTGTAGGGGTTTATTCTTACTTGAAGGTGCAAATCTGTTTACCGAGAAACATATTTTCTTCACAACCATCAAAGCATGTGGATATAAGCACTGTGCGAAGTTGCCCATAGTTAAACGTATACGAATCGAATTGCGAAGTTACTTTTCGCATGTAGGTACAGTGAAATCTTGTTGAAAGTTGGTGTGCAAGTAAGTGCTGTGCTACATGGATGGAAAACGTGAATGTGTGGTCAAACGAAAACGCGTCTTCTTTAATTAACACTTTTCAAGGATTTGTGAAGTTGTGGCAAATAAAGGCAAAAATCTCTACAGATCTACTGTAGGTATATACGCACATTCACACGTACTTCTGAGAGTACCTAGTCTAGTTGCTGAGAGAAACTGCTTTTCACAGCTTGCTTATGTATAACCGGCTAAACGCTAACGCAAGTTACTCTCAGGTGTAATATCCTATCCCAAATTCACTATCCTGTACCTATAAAGCGGAAGAATCGGTACATGAGTGGATGTGGATGTGTAACCTCACCTGTTCCAAGTCATATCCTGAATGACAAGTCAATGACAACTACGGGTATTTGTAATTTTTTGATTGGTTAACATTCGTCTTCAAGGTCAAATTACTTTTTGGGCTAGTCCGAAAGTACCTACTTTTGATACTGACGACTCCCGAAATCGCCCATTTTTTGTACCTAAAAGTGACAAAATAGCGTCTTATTCAGGTGGTTGGTGAAAAAATACTTTTTTGTGAAATCGTTTCGAAATTGACAAATTTTGATATTGATTGGAATTTCGAAATGACACTCTTTTAGACACTAGTGCGTAAAAGTGAATGTTTTAGGCACTAGTGCCTAAAAATAAAAATGAAACAACCTTAACGTCACACTTGACATTAAATAAATGCGTAAACAATGCCTTAGAAACAGATTGCCTACCTACTTTTCAAAATGTTTAAAAATACTAACAAAATTATCAAATTCTCCGCTTTCACAAAAAATCTTGTATATAATTCGTTACGAAACGATGTCTTTTAGTCACTAGACGTGTTGTCCAACTCGGCTTTGCCTCGTTGGACAATTTTCACGTCACGTGCCTAAAAGACACTCACTTACCTATTGTATAAATAGCTATTTGTCATTTGCCAACATTCAGAATCATGTCGCCATGGATGGAACAAAATTCTAATATTACAACGAAATATCTCAAGATAATCATGATTACTTACAAGTATCTATCGGTAAATCGATTAATCCGAGGATTAATCATTTATAAATGTGATGTATAACAATCAACGGCATTTGATATTATTTCGGCTTTATAACGTTAGTACTTCCATATACGGCTGAAATTCTAACCGTAAATCTTATGGAAAAACTATGAATAATCGCCAAACTGAATCAACCAAAATGAGATGAATAAAAAAAACGAAAAATACCTACACGCTCCGATTACACTTACTTAAAACTCATAACGCAAATCCTGATAGCGACAACACTCGCACGAAAAAAATAATGAACACATTCCACTCAAGATTCTATGAGGACTAAATCCGTGACGTTAGTTATTTAGAATGGAATAGATAAGGTAATTATTGCTATCATCTTATCGGCACCTTTTGTGATAATACAAATATGAAAACGTATAAAGTAATTTCCACTGGCTTCTAGGACGAATTCTCTTACATTTTCTGGTAGTGAGTGAATAGAATCTTGCAGTGCAAAGCGAAAGTGAATGCCACACCATTTAAATAGGATTCCAGTTAGGTATAGGTGTACAAAATAAACAAATTAAAAAGCAATTTATATTATATATCATAGAATGTAATAAGCCCACAATTACCAAAAGCTACTCGCAGTTCAGGCTATTATTCATCGATTACCTACACTTGTTATCGATAAAGTATGATTCACATAGTTCACTACACATTCATAATTATTTATTTCATTTCACCTTGTTGGATGTTAAGCAATCCGCAACCATTAAATGTAATGTTTCTTTATGAAGGTTGAAAAATTAATGAACTAATTCTTAAATAGTCCGCACTTTATGAGGCAAATTTTGTACGAAGGCAAATATTTCGGTGATGAATTTGCGAGCGAATCTATCTCGGAATCTACCGAGACGCGTTTTCTCGGCCGAATTTACCACATAACTATAGTAAAGAAATAGTATAAGAACATTCATGATGGGCGGCGGTGTTAATGTTAAGAAAGACATTCTGTGTTTCTTTGGAAATTAAAATAAAAGTTATTATACCCAACTTTTAAATTTGTAAGTCCTAAGTTATTTTGGAGGTGGTCAAATGAAGTTATGAGAAATTAAGAAACAACTTATCGATCTTAACTCTAAAAAGGGATTGTTATTTATTTCTTGTCATCCTTACCACTTCATCGTATGTCTACATTAACATTACAAGTAAAGTTGGCCAAATTACATATAAACATGACCAAAGAAGATGCACATATGGGTTAATTGGTACAAATGTAGTTTAGTTGGATTTGGATGATACGTATTCATTTATCTCATGCTGCAGCAAATATGTAAAAACAAATGTAGCCATAAAATTGTACGAAAAGTACGAGACACCAAACTTTGTAGGTACCTTGATAGATAAGATAACTTGTATACTATTAACCTAGCAGTTCCATTATCTGATGGACCAGAGATACTGGTAGTGGTCTGGGTCATACTTTTGGCGAAGTACCTATTTGCTGAATATCTCACATGACCAGTTGTACGTCGCCTGTTCCTAAATATCCCAACTTGCTTGCTCAATTTTGCCTGCAATTCCCTTGCGAATACGATAAAGTGCGCTCTTTTGAAGACCAAAAACTAATTTAACATTAAATCTACAAAAATTGAACTGAAAAAGATTTATTTGTTAATATTGGTTAAGTAAATTACCCTTCCCAAGTTTAGATGTGCCAATTTAAATAAATGTGTCATGAAAAGGTTACAGACTTGGGAATAAATCGAAAATTTTTCACCCGCATTCATATAGTAATCGTACAATAGCTATACGGCTCTCAATTATAACATGAGTAGGTAACCTTTAATTACTAAGTAATAAATAAACCTGTTTTCAAGCAATCCTGAAAAGAAAGAAGCAATTACCAAGGATGAATTGGTTATATAGGTTATCTTATCCCGGCCGCTTTGAGTCGCAGAGAGCTGAATAAGTTCGCCCTATAAAAATTAAAAGTAGGATTTTTGATCAATTTTAGACATTACACATTTGATTAATTAATTCAAACATTGTACTTGAAAGAATTTAATTAAAAGACGGCGCGGCGGGTGGTTTATTATACGCTTTCGAACGGGTACAGAGGAAGTACCTGAAGTTCGTGACCTTTAGGATTGATGGAACATACCCGTCTAGGGGATTTAATCACGACCAATTGCTCAGTCGTTTTAAGTTACTTTCGTTGGAACATAGACGTATTACTACATCAATTAAATTTTTATACGACCTACTTCACAATCTCATAGATTGTTCTAGTCTCCTTGATGGAATACAATGGCGTGTGCCACGACTTGTCTCCAGAAGGGATCAAACGTTTTACTTGCCTCGAAGTAACACTACTTAATGTTAGTTTCCCCTATATATGCTGCATGTCAACGCTACAATAATGTGTCCTTATTTTGTGACATTAACCACGCTACATGGATCTGTATTAAGCATTTTCTCAACAACAATAATTAACCAGCTTTAACACTTGCTACATTTCTTTCGTTACCCTTATAAGTAACAGAATTTTCTTAGAACATTTATCTTTTTTTTGTTTTGTTCTTTTTTCCTTTCGAATTACGTACGTGTAATTACATCACTTATTCAATTATTCAATTGTATAAGTCTATGCTATTTAAGTCTAACTTACTTGTTGTATTTTGTATTTGTCCATAATTGGTTTTTGGTTTTGGTTTTTTTTCTCATCTAATGATACACGAATTAGTTTATTTTCAGGTATATTTCTCATTATTTTATCTTAAATTCGGCAATACATCCAATTAGGAAAATCATGTTAACCCATGGAAATTTTCTAAAGAATGGGCTCATCCCGCCTTCATTTTTTATTTCTGATCCACAAAGTACATTAAAAATAAAAAGACCCGTGTGTCCTCAATTTTTGTTTGCGAGTAAAATAAACCCAAAATAAATTATTGAAAAGCTGTGTTTTTAGTCCGAATTTGAAACGCTTCAGACTAAATACGTCACAAACCTACAACCAATCACGTAGAAGTGAGCTGGCAACCTTACCCGAGGGTCTGACGTTTGTCACATTTGACGTTTTGAGAGGGATGTTTAACTGCATCTAGCACGAAAGTGACAAGTGCCTGTGACAGATGACGCAAGTTATAAATGCCATTCTCCTGCAATATTGCCAAGTCGTTATGTCATCTGAATGGTTCTAGGAGCTGATTGGTCGGGCTTATTACGTCACAGAGCCCGCCACAATCATATCGTTTTGAATAAACCTTTAAAACCGCACATGTTCATTATTTTTTTGCTAATCAGCCTCTATTTTTAAATAAACTTTTACTGTCCAAAAAAATGTTTTATGGTTTCAGGTACACGCTTATTAAATTAGAACTGCGGAATTCAACTACACTGTAAACCCCCATTTGAAAAATCATTAAAACGCACGGAAATCAAATATCGCGTACTAGAGTAAATATTTCCGCTGTAAACGTTGTTTATTATAAATACTTTGTCCTCGGTGAACAGCATTTTACAAAAAAATTAATGCCAGTTATCATAAACTGATAACCTGATAACTGAAAACCTTTTTCCCATGTTAATTCCCTATGTTCGGTTTGAGAATATTCACCCGGTATAAACATTTATAGCACTTACATTTTTTGCATTCTCCCTATTCTGTGTTGACACTCGTCAAGTATTCTTGTCAAAGCGACTTGAACACGAAATTGATCAATTTATTGTTGATGTAAAACCAGCTCTATAAGTATAATACTTTAAATCCATTATGGTAATAAAGGTCTGAAATATGTTCAAATTCCTTTCGTTCGAAAAAGTATGACGAGGAGTCTCCACAAGTCTTTAAAATCCGGTCATAAGTTCTTTCTGAATCCACGCATGGGCAAAAAATATATAAATAAATGAAACAAATATAGCAAACGAGCTCCTGGGTATGGCTTGACTTGGCATTACGTGTTATATGGCTAAAGCTATGCTCATTTTGAATTTCATGCAATTCGGTTCATAACTAACGGAGATGTCAAAAGGACCTTCCTTATTTTTTGACCTACATTGCCAATTCACGAACTCCGATCTACAAATTTCTATAAATTTCACGATCATACCAGGGGGTTTATTAGCGTCACGCACCCTACAAATTAAATAAAGAATCCACCTGCATAATTTCATCGTAATCGGTCCATTCGTTTTTGAGATATCGTGCTAACGGACGGGCAGACGGACAGACACCGCAAATTATAAATTCGCTAAGAGATCGTTAATAAGCAACTTGGGAAGAAAGAATGCGGAGCAGAGCAATCACTTTTTAAATGTCAGTCAACAAACGTAGATCTACTTTATGTAGAGTTCACTCCTAGTCGTACTGCATTCTCTTTTACAAAGTAAAAATTAAAATAAACCCTTATTCTTATTCAATATTAATTAGGGAGATTAGACAGGAGGGTTGTAATTTCAGCTACTTACTCAAATTTCAACACGCATCGCTTTTACACTCGGGTAATTATTCACTTACACTTCTTCTTGCTTTCGGAAAAAAACACTTCCCTAATGATTGACAGACCTTCGTCGCGGTACGCTAATTAACTGATGCCAATATGCTACTCACTTTGGTACGAAAATATTAATTAGCTAATGCCGTTATTAAATTGATTAGACACTATAAGAAAACGCACTTTTACGTCATTAAATCACTTAGCGATGATATCACACAAATTAAAACATAATTATCGCGGTGGGTTGGAATTTGATACGGGAATTATTAGCAACAAAAGTTGTAATAATAACATTTTATTATTAACCACACATTTTCGAGAACCTCAAACGTTACCGACACGGTTATTTTTTTATTAAACGAAACCGGACGATTCACTTACAGCGAAAGACCCTGTAATCAGTTCGTTAATAAACAACGTTAATCAATCAACACGCTACCGACGCGAATGGGGCGTTAACAATTTAAACATTAGCGTCGTACGGCCAGGGTAAACTGAAATGAAAATGTATGATCTGGAACAAGATACAGTCGTGAAGTGATTTGGCAAATTGTACTGGTGTGTTCAATGAAGGCACGAAGACAACAGTAATTGTTAAAAATTGACTGTAGGGAATTGTAACAATTACAATAATGAAAAGAGCGCATTCTTTTGTATATACCTACGTATACACAACCAGGTAATCTTTGACAAACAACTTTCAAAAAGAACTTCCTCGACCATGACGATTTTCAATCCCTCGTTCATCACTTCTAAACTATTTACCTATATGTACCATACCAACTAGTAGGTACGTCCTTTTTCCCACAAAATTAGTAAAGACCTTAGGTAATTGGTCAAATCCCAGACTAAAACCTCGATTCAGTTCTAGTTTGACTAAAAAATTGGTAACTGGGGTCACCTTTCAATCCAACATAATCCTAAGCACGATTGTAATTCAGAAATATTTACGTAGCAAATCGCAAAGCTGCAACGTGCTGTTCTCACTTCCTCCTTGTGACTTAAACATGCTTTTATTTACTCCTTTAGGGCCATTAACAGTCTTTAAAGTTCTTTAAGAAACTGTACAAGCCTTTCAACATTTCTTACTGTCTTTTAAATTCTTTAATAGTCTCTAAGAAGTCTAAGAGCTCCAAAGGTCTTTTAATGGTTTTAAGAGCATTTATCTCTAACGAGCCTTTAACAGCAACAGCGCTAGAGAGTTTAAAAATTCTTTAAAAGTGCAGAATGTTTAGTCCGCAAAAGCATTTAAGGGCTTCTAACATTTTTTAAAAGCCTTTTAAGAGTCGCAGGCAATTTCCAAGAATTCAGAAAGTCTTAAGAGTCCTTGACATTATCTCGAATCTTTAAGAGCTGAAACTGTTATGCTGGTCCTTTAATGTTTTAAGACTTTAGGAGCCTTTAAGAATTCTTAAAACCTTTACACGTTTTTTAGAGTATTTAAGACCCTTCATGAATAACGAAATGCTTTTTCTTCCAGAGTTTTCAACGATAAACAGATTGTTAGTAGTCTTCAGATAACAAGAACCCATAACAGCGCTTCACTTTCAGACTCTAACAATTATTTTTAAGACTACTCAATACCTACATCTTAAAAAACTTAATACCCTTTACGAAAGTTACGAATCTCTAGTTACTAAGACTGTCCAAACGTCTGCAAGAATATAAGTCTTGCTTAAGGAACCTACATGACGTCCCCAAGTGTATTCTGAAGATTTTGAGAACGTTTGGTAAGTTTGTTTGATTTTTAGAATCTTTGAACAGCTTTTAGAATCCTTAATACGCTTTTGAGATCTTGCGTTTAAGAGTTGCAAATGAGATTCTCTTCTCTTCTCTCTTAACTTATGATTTTTTGAAAACTATAAATAATCTTAAAGAATCTTTAATCATTTTTAAAAGGGGCATTGAAGAGCATTTAGGATCCTGAATGAATCATCAAATGATTTCAATGGTTAATGGTCGAGCCAGACTAGAAAATAAGTAGGTATAAGAGTTTTGGGGAGATGCTTTAAAAGCTTTTAGCAATTTTTAACAATATTTAATATCCAAATCTTGAAGTGTCTCCCCCTTCCGAGCTAACCGTCTCTAAATCATTTAAGGAACCTTAAATATGACGTACAGTTTCTAATACCCTTTAAAGGCTTCATAGAAATGTCTTATCAAGTCCTTCTCTAAGGATCTCCACTAGTCTCCAAAAGGCTTAGAAAGGTCTAATACAAGTTTTGCAAGCGTTGAGCTGACTTTAGGAGCATTAGACTAAGTTTGTTTCAGAAAAGCCCCATAAATGCTAACTTAAAATTTTTAGCGCATTTTTTAAGAATAAAAAAAAATGTGCTGGAACTAGTTTTATCCTTCATGGTACTCTAGTGAAAGGTCTCAACGAATGTCGATACGGCCAGGAAAACCATCCAAAGAATAAATGGATAGTCACGAGATACCTAGTTATATTTCCAAATGAATATTTATTCTCTCAACGTAAATTTGTCCCGTGATTGTCCTTGTATCTAGGAAACTCAACGTAAGGAAAATTCACGTCCGGGAAAATTCGACCTCGAGGAAAATTGCATTGAGACCGATTTCTGGTATGCAAATTTACCGGGTCTTTCAACCAGAAGGAGTACAAATAGTAGGTAAATCATTTTCAACTTACAAGAGTTTCCAGTTGAAGGTATGGATCTTCTCGAATTATTTAAGCAAAGTCGAAAACAAACACATTTCACTACTGAATGACTGAATGGTTAACAGAAATCCACGCATGTAAAGGTAATGGAACTAAGAAAGTTCACACTTCAGTCCATACCGATACCTATCAACTTTTAATTAAATCTGTTCAATTTACGTTCAACTTTTGATAATGAAGTTCTCCTTGAAGATCGGAATATAGAATACAGGGCGTGAATTTGAATAGAAGAAAAGATCGCAAAACAATAAACCTCTAAGAAAAATGCGATACAAAGGAGTTTCTTTTTTGCTTAGAAAAATCAGTTCACCTGTACCTATCTCAGTTGGTCTATTATAGTTCGATACCGTTAGCAAGAATAGCCGCTACACTAATGAACCTTTGTAACGTTACCTTTTTTTTCTCTCAACCTTTCAGATTCCGGGCTTGTTAATTTTCTGTTGAACCCACACCGGTAGAACCAGTAGATAACCTATTTTGATAACAGAGATGAGAAAATTGCCTTGCCATTGTGATAACTGTCACATTTGTATCATTCTCGTTTAAGTAGCGAGATTTGTATGTAAACAAAATGATCGCTTCCTGTAATTATGCAAATCTCGATAAATAAATCTTACGTGGGTTTACAGACTTTGAAACTGTTATTGGTTTTAAAATTTTAACGCGTTTTTATTAATGTCGCTTCTTTACAGTTACGTTCTACCGGTCGCTCGCCACTTTTACGCCATAAATTGAGCCGCAGTAAAGAAAAGGACGACTTTAATTAATTAGGTAACATTGGCTCTTACGACACGCACCGATTCAGGTGGAACGCGAAAGAAAGGATGATCAAAGCATCGCGCAATAATTGATGATAATTATGAAGGTGCAGTGCCTGATCTAATACAATCAACCCTTATGCAAATCCAATAAAATATGTTTTAGTTCTTTGACATATTCGGTTCAAGCAGTCAAGGAAAGTGAATTTTAATTTTGTCTGGCGTCAGAGGTGAATTTAAGCATAGGTTGAATAGAGTAACGACTACGTTAAAAAATGGGACACTATTTGAGGTTTCAGAATATCGTATATTTTTACAATGTCCACAATTTAAAATCTTTAAAATGTTCCTTGAATCCGTTTACAAGTATATTTCAAAGCTATCTAAGCATTTTTGATATATTTTCTGCATCTTCAGAACCTTCATATCCCTTAAAATTGCTTTTTTATTATACCTGAACTACAATCTCCGTTTTAAACACTCAAATGCGTGCGAAAAAGGGCCTTCAAAACACACGTGCTTTAAAGTTGCTAAGTAACGATACTTCAAGTATGACTTTTAAAACTGTCATCTGGATGAAATAAAAAAATCCTCTTAGGTCGCTTTCTGTAAATGCAGAACATTTCTTTGGCTTTTGTACCTATCCTTTGGTTGAAGCTTTCACAAACGCGCGTAATTTAGGGTATGCTTCCAAATCTGCTCCACTTTTTAATCGCAGCATTGCTTTAAAGTTTTGAATGAATGCACCAAAATATAGAAGATTTAAATACCTTTGACATTTCCTTCATATATGCCAGCATTATGGATGCATTTAAGACTGTATTCGTAAGTAACTTCCTATTCATCCATGGAAACAATTTTTCATATTCTTTATAATAGGCTTTACTGGAGTTGGATTTTACACCTACCAACGTTTGTTTAGATTTTACAACAATCGATTTAATGGACGGTGTATTATCTTTTTCAACGGAAATCATATAATTCACAAAGACGATGATTTTTTAAGCAAACGTCAAGTGACATTTCCATGGCAATCGTGAAATTACGAACACCCAGCCCACTTAATTAGACATGTATTCGAGTATAACGTCAGTATGACTTTGTGTATGTATGACATTGTATTTCCTATTTTTAAATTATACTGCAGGTATAATAAAAAATACTATAAGATACACGTGTATAATTGGTCTTTAAAGCACTTGCAACGTTAAAGGCACTCCGCTTTGCGTCGTGCCTTTAAACTCGTTGCGCGTGCTTTAAAGACTTGATTATACACTTGTATCTTAATATACTATTTCATCGACCTCTCGATAACAACATAAATTACACCTTAGTTACAGGTGTAACAATGAAGCTCATTAATGGTTAGAAACCATTATACTGTAGTGTATACGGCGATTAATGGAATAGGTTGTCGTACTTTATTTATTGCACGGATAAACGTGCGGAAGGATGAATAAAGAATAGAAACACCAGTAATGTGGTTTAAGTTGTTTACTTACACAAAGCTACATTAGGCGGACCGGAGGAATAAGACCTCGTTTCTTTTGAGCGGTTGGTTTTTATACTGGCCTAGATGGCGCGGCAATAGCCAGCAGGCAGTGGCGCCGAAAACCAAGTCAGTATCGCCACAATACGTTAGCAACCATTAATCGTTAGCAACCACTTATATATATATA